TTTGTCAAGTTTTTAGGTTTTTTTCCCTACTTTTGTGTGACTTTAGGCAGTAACAATCGGGATTGTCAATTAATTTACAAAACTCTCTATTCCCCATCGTTGTTGCCAGGAGGAAGAACAGATTGTAGTTCATGAACTCTTCACCCTCCATCTAAAAAAACCTGACTACCTTCCACCTAAGATTTACATATTATTGATCATGTTTACCTGAATTTCATGTACAAGGCTTGTAAGATGGCGACACTAAGATTCCAAGTAGTGGCTTAGGGCTACAGATAGGATTGTAACAGGAAAGGAAAACCATTGCTATAAATGACAGTAAGGCATGGAAAAAGCTCATTAGATTCTATCAGAGGTCTCCTAAAAAATCAAAGACATGGAAGCTTATTGAGGTCATCATGGATACAATCAGTCACATGACATGCAACCTCAGTTAATGGTGGACACTTGTTTTCTGTCATATAAAATTTATATGTTGATTCATTATTAATGCTTTTTTGCTGAACATGTTATTGTGGGTTTTAGATAAATGAAATTGTTGAGACATTGATGAGAAAAAACAAAAGGATCTAGGAAATAAAGAAATTAAACTTTAATGTCAAATTATTATAGCTATTATACCTCTCCCAGCTGTTTTTTGGTGATTGCAGACAGCCCCCCATTGAATTAATAGATCAATTTAAAAAAGCCATCTTTTTTCAACCCTTGCATAGGCTCTTATTGCAAAAATTTTATATATATAATTGTTCCCTGTCATTTGTAAGCCTACTGTTCAGTTAGAATTATTTTATTATATTACTTTTTATCTGATAACAAAAATGGGATGATATTTCTGACGCTGAAATATGACTTGCTGGGTTCTATTTTCTGGAGCAATGTCTCGTGGCCCATTTCTGTTACACACCAATTTGCATGTTTTCTGTAAAACAGTAAAATGTATTGGCTGAATTGTGTAGAAAAATTATCTTTTATCAATATGATTAAACTTAACATTGCAATGTCCAGTTCTGAAAGAGGATTAAATAAACTTTGTTACTAAAATGACCAAAAAAAAAAAATGTTCTGTAGGTGCAATGTTTAAAGTATTAGTCATCTGAAATTTTCCTTCACTGAATTAAATGGATGGATAATGTTATTTCAGGGTAGCCAAGGCTAGATATAAAAGATACAAGCATTCCATTGTCATTTAACCAAAAAAAATTCTTATTATAAATACAGTTCATTCATATAAATTCACAGCTAGTACAGTAAAGATGTCCAATCTGAGGGAACTCGGAGCGGTAATTATTGGAGACGGCAGGCGAAAGGGGGATAACTAAGTGCACTTAATATACCTGCAAATAATCTTCTAGAGATAACGATCATATGCCAACAGAAATTATATGGAAATTTGAAAGGGAGGATGCATAGGGTTGAATTTCTAATTTCTAGTGGAGCCATCCGGATCAGGAAATTAGTCTCTGCTTTGCAGATGTGATACAATGTGATTATTAGATATGCGCAGAGAGACAGAAATAGTTATGAAATAATCAATTAATTTCATTTGGAGGCTCTGGACAAATTCAATCAATTATAAAGTCAAGTGGTTAATTTTTTTGGCATATTTACATTTTAAGCAGCAGATGCTGAACGTTTTTCTGGAATTCAACTGAAGTTCTTTTTTACTCTTGAATTTTTTTTTTTATCTTTACCTGTTCCATTTTCATAAAGCCAAGCTTCTGAGCTGTTTTTATTTTTACAACAAAATCTTTTAATAAACTTTGAGATTTGATGAAATGTCAAACAAAAGCAGAGTGATTCACAAAGTGTCACTGATATTTGGTTCACAATAGATGCCAGGGGCAGAGGTGATTATAGCATTACCCAAATCTTCTTTTACGTAATTTGATAGATTGTATATATGCATATGGTACAACAAACTGGTCAGCTGATTGGTGCAGTGTTTACAATTAAGCACATCTAATGTGCAAAATATTAAATACATATTGAAAGCATGCCAAAGACTGGGGGATTTTGCTTTGGTTGAATGTTCCGTCAAAGTACACAGCATGTCCATTTATTTTTAGTGTGTCCATTGCAGTGATGTTAAGGGGATGGTCATAATTATGCAACATACACACCAGAGTACAATTGTATTATATGTAAAAAAAGACAAAAATGCTTGTCCATTTCAGTTATTAAATAGAATGGTCTGGGGGTAGAAGTTTAGTCATTCACCAGCTTTAGGAAAAATGTATTTAATAATGATATGTATAGAAAATGTGCCTGTTATAGCCTTATTGCAGTGTACCATGTAGACAGTCTGTCTCGGTGTTAAATCATAGATTTGATGGTATTGGCGATAAAATGACTTAAATCGCCTCCTACACTTTATAGATGGGAACAATCCAGCTTTGGGGAAGAATATTATTGCCATAGTGAATTTTGTTTCAAGAAAAAAAAAATATGGCCAAGTTTTGACAGTATACAAAACCCTGACATCACTAGACTACCAGTCTCTAGCCTGTCTCATTTTGTGGAGGGCAATTTTATCAATTGCTCTGAATTAATGATGAAAACGGGTCAATCGAGGGGTCCTGCATATCCATCATTAAGATTAACTACTATATGATGTACTGTAAAAAGGCAGCCTTTTAAAATTTACCTGCAAACCTCTCCTGAAAAAGCAGTTGTCGACATGTTTGTTTATGAAATAGTTGGGTTGTCCGAGAGTTTGTTTAACATTTTATAGTGTGCAGTGATTATGCCATCTTCCCTGGCCTGCCACCCTGCACAAGACCCAAGTTTCTACTTGACAAAACAAACTTTTCCTATAGTTTTCTGCATTAGGAGGAGACTGGTTTGAGACCCACCTCTTGTCTACAATTTTGAACGGAGAGGTTTCTTGTCTTCTCTGTGCAATCAAGTGCCTTAATATTGATTCCCCACTTGGAAGACATTGAGTAAATAATCTTTCTTCTTGAATTGTCCCTTGTAATATCTTTTCTTCATGGATGCTATCATTGTACTTATTAATATGATGGCATTTCACGAAGAACTTGTCACTAACATATGACAATTTTCCCATCTGTACTTCTTAGTTCAGAACTATTGATTTTTTGATCATTTCCTTTTGGGGGAATTATATTAAGCCTCTGCCCTTCAAAAAAGGAAGTTGATATTTCTCATCTTTTGATTCATTTTGTCTAAACCTTCAGGAAATATTTATCTGAGAATCAAATTCAAATTTCAGATTGCAAAAAACAATATTCTCTAAATGGCACAAGCATGTTAACAGTATCCGTATTATGGAAAAAGTCCAACTTCTTTCAGGGCCTGACAATTATGGAAATTCATCATTGTGTCAAGATAATGATTTCAGTGATTATGCAAATAAAAGAATAAGAGAATAATAAAATATTGAAAATTATTTAATGATCTTGATAAAATTCCACTTGAAAATGGTTCATAATAGGAAAAAGACATTTTATCTATGCTTTAGTTCTTTAAGAAGGAATTAATTGTTGGTGCCTGACGCCAGTGTTTCGCCTCTGATAAATGCCCAGTCTGCCCAAATGAACACGTCTATTCATGGCTCACAGACCAATTTAAAGCCACCCGATCTATGTAAAACAGAAAAAAATAATAACCTGATATGCCTTATTTACTGTCAACAAGAAAAAAATCATTGCAACTGGGGCCTCTAGTTTGGTTGAACTGTCACCAGTTCTGGTTGGAACACAGCTTTTTTTTTCTTCACCACTTTTAAAGTAAAAAAAAAGTAGGAGTTGAATGTGATGGTCATTGCTTTGGCACCATGTTGTTGTTTTTTTCTCAGAAGCCTGATTAATAAAAATCAGAAATGAAAGCATCCAGATGGTGCTCTCTTCAATTTTTTAGTTATATAGCTAGAGGTTATTTGAGGGTAGAGATTTTTGGAGAAATGGATGAAATATTTTTTTCTTTAGGTCAATTTGAATTAATACTTGTATTGAAAAAAAAACCATACTTCCCTTTCTGGAAATGGAAGTGAGATATCATTATATGTATCATATATTTTCTTGAGGGAGTCCTTGTATCTTGTGCTCTTGATAATTGTAACAAGAGAGTGTAACAGTATTTTTCTTTGAAGTGCCCCTCCCCCCTTCCCAATACTTCTCTTGTTTACATACCCATCAATCATTTTTTTTTTGTTAAATATTTTGATTATGTAAGCATCTTGATGCTTTTATATCAGAAATATTTTTACGAAGGAAATCATTTGGAAATCTGATCTTGCTGTGTTTATAATTATTTTGTAAGCAATATTACTTCATATCTATACTGTCGGAAACATTTATAGCAGCCATCATTTTTCCCACTATTACCCACATTTGTTTGAGATTTTTCATACCTAATCTTAGTAAATTCTCATGGGAAGATCGATATAAGAAATCCTACATAAAAAAATCTTTTGTGCCAATGGCATTTTATAATATAAGCAATTTTTGTTAGTCTTTGCTCACCAGAGGCAGGATTTTTTTTGTGTGTGTGCGTGATTTCAGGGTGAGCCAGGGCACTAGGCCGAAATTAGTCTCCAGATAGGGATCTGACATTGTTTTTTCGCCAGACCGAAAATCAGCAAATAGGAAAAAAAAAGGCGTCCGAGAGGAGCCTCCAAATTGACATCCCTGCTCAGACTCTAATTTCTGGCTCGTTATGAAAGAATAACATTTAAAAAAAAACCCTGTTGCATATTTATACAGAGGTTGATCACAGCATGACAAATACTGGATAATTTTCACGTACTTGAAAGTTGGAGTAGGTTATCTTATGGTGTGCCTTAGCTGAACTTATGATAGCTCGATTATACATTATTTTGTAAAGCGATTTATTGGTTCAGTATTGATGTTCCTATCACGTACATAAACAACTTTATCAGAAGTATTTGTAGAAAATGCCACATACTAGATGTCTTTATCGGAACATGACCAAAACATTTTTCGCTGATAACTAAGATGAAAGAAAACAAACGTTGTAAAGCATTTTTTCTTGTACATTTAATGACATAAAAAAAACAACATAAGCAATAGTGTTCATACAATATTGAGCAAAAACAACTTGTTTCAATAGTATCTGAAGTAGGATCATGTGTACATTGACGATCAATATAATCCTTTTAAGCTTTAATTACTTCTGATAATGATTATAAAGTGCATGACTGATCATAAAACCCAAAGCAGCATTTCAAATTGGTCAAATTTTCTTGGCTTCAAATTTTCCAATTTCCTTGAATTACACAAAACCCCATGCTTCACTGAGGACTTTTCAAAAAAAACAAAAAACAAAAAACCAAGCTCGCAAGGTTTCCTGACATATTTGATATTCCTTCAAATATGCTAAATTAAATTATTTAAAAATGTTCTGGTAGGATAAAAAAAAGGGCTTAATTGCTAGTTAGTGAAGGAGTTCTGCACAGAGTTTAGACTGGATGAAAAGAGGAGACAAATTGCCTCTAATTACCCTGCTAGTCAAGTCTGGATAAAATGCTCCCATTGCATAAGGTCCCCCAGATCCTATCTTTTAAAGAATCTTCAAAGCCAAGGTACATTGCTAGTTTTTCCAGCTCTGCTGGTATGTGAGCATTTGGGATTTCCTTCAAACTAGAGTTTCACTCAATTTAATTCTAAATTAAGTGCACTAATATGATTTGGTGAACCATGAACACCTAGTTTTTCTAGAATGGCTGTTAAATATATGTAGCTTTAGTGGAAAATGTCATGTTTGATCTATAAAACTCAAAGTTTACACAGATTAAAAACCCAAAGTATTTACGTGAATTTTCAGCCATGTCTTTCCCTAATAGCAGCAATGAAATTATCTCTTCGATGTTGAATTCAAATTTAATGTTTAGGTAATTTAAAGTACATAAATTTCAAAGGAATCAAAAACATTTTGACAAGCTTCACTCAATGTAACAAGCAGTTTTTTTGACAGAGATTTATTGTGATGGAGAAGAAATGCAAATAGCACTGTAATCAAGGGCGAAAAAAAAAAAATTATACACTGCATACTGCAGTCCTTAAAAATATGCCATCATAGAACACATTCAAGAGGATCTGTCTCCAGTTTGAACACTAGCATTTTGTACATAGTTTGCTGCAGACGACACATTGTACATTTGAGGGATGGGTGAGAAAGTCTGTTGGTTAGGTGGGGAAGGAGGGGCAGGAGCCACCTCATACAGTCTTTGATACTCCCTACTTTCTTGCAGAAGGTTACTGTAAATTTGACTTTGCACAACGGGGGGAGGCTGAGGGTTCTGTATTAATACTGCGGGAGAACAGTGGGTTTGACTGGGAACACTGCGATTCAAATTCTGGTTAGAACTTGATAGCGTTTTGGGTGAGTTCATACCGTTGTTTTCAGCACTGTTGGGTCTGGTTCTATTGAGAGTTCTTTTGGTGAACTGAACCCCTACAAAGTCATCCCTTGCTTCAGGTACGTCTTTAAAACAGTGATATCGCACTGCATTCTCTACAAGTTCTTGTACTTGTGGGAAGTTTTTGAATACACCATTTTTCTGCAAGTGATACAGGACTTTCCGATGAAGAAGTGGATAGCGAATATTGACTAGTATGTCCTCTATGAGATTTTTGTCGGCTAACTGGTTCCTTTTCATCCATTCAGTAGCAGACGTCAGTATCACATTCTCTTCAGCATTGCAGTCATCACATTTCAGTAAATCACTCACCAAGTGCCAACTACAAAAGGGCCACCTTTCAGAAGCAATCAAGTCACGGAACTTGGCACATAGCACTTTGTAGCAGAGATCACAAATTTCATCAGAATACAAATTTCCTTCATAAATGTCACATATGATGTCAATTGAAAATCCTCTACATCCATCAGTAGTATCGATCATATTGAGAAGAATTTGACTGATGTAGCTCTGACAATGTTGGATTAAGGGTTTGACTTGATATTTTTCGGCCAGACTATGGAGGGGAAGTACATAGTCCCTATGAAGCCAGACAGCCCCACTGTATATGAAGTAGAGAAACCGACTAAACACCATACTGCACTCAGGTGCCTCCTTCAAATTCAAAACTGGTCTGGACTGAGAATCACTAGATTTGAGTTCATTCAACATGGTGGCCAGAATCTCACTTTTTAATCCAAGAATCATTCTGTGTCCTCTGAAAACAAATTGTCCATCATTCACATTAAGAATCACGTCACAGAGGGATTCACTGTCAAATAAAGATTCAAACGACTGGTTTGTCTTGACCTTCTTACTTTCGTTGGTGAGGGTCTGCCCCTCAATGACCTCTGGAACATTTTCTGGAGGCATTGAGGGGTCAGGGTAGTGTTGACCGCTGGGACTGAATCGCTTCATCCTTTTGATGCGGCATCTTAGCTCATCCTGAGCTGGTCTCGTGTGATGTGCCAGGATTGGAGTTTGATCAAATTGTCACCTGAAAAGAGAGATTAGCACACCATTAATGCTTTTGAAGGAACCTGAGTCACTTCAATTCAAAGACTCTTTAGAAAAGCAGGCTTGATGAAATCAATGGAGAATAATGAAGATGAAGTGCCACCTTAATTGAGCATGTGTCTGGAGAATGGAACAAATGCATTTAATCAGGCGGGCAGTGTTTCCCGAGATATACCTGGTTTTGTATGGCCAGGTTTATAAACTACCTTGTCTTATAAACCCAGCCTTGCAGTATAAATAGCACAGCTGCCAATGGGGCTATCTGATTTAAATATTTAATGAAAATTAACTCCTGCCAGGGAACAAATGGAAAAAAAATGTAACAGTGGGTGAGGAAACAACTATTCCAATGTAATTGTTCAAGTACTTAAAAGGAACTTGGAGTAACGTTTGACATTCTGCATGCCCCCATGTTTGCTGAACAATAATCATTTGGGATCAGTTGATGACAGATGAAATCCCTTGTTATACAGAGGCACTTGAGAAGATTTATCTCTTAGCCTTTAACATGCAGCAGTGACATTCTTTTAAAGAAAATCTTTCTCTCAGACTCTAAGGTTCTTTTTTTATCAACCTGTCAAGGCTAATCACTGTTCCTTATCATTTCTAATCAGTATTGCATCAACACTCACTACCCACCAAACAATCACATTTAACATAAGCCCCCCCAATAAACATATTTTTGTCCTTACGAAAATGAGATAAAGTTCTGCTGAGAAGAAATTGCAGGAACTTGTCCAAGAATAATATGTAGGTTTTATTTTCTTCAAACAGAATTTGTGTTACTCTACTAGAAGGGCATTATCCATGTCCAACCCATTTTTGCATGTTTGCACGGATCTTGGCCTAAATGTCTGGAAAATATCAATCTCTGCCTTGATCTCTTCAATTTTTTTAATAACAAGTAGTGATTCCATTTGACCATGTTTGCATTGCGACAGTACATCAAATTGCATGTTGATTTAATTTTGGGGGGATCATTTCCAATCAATCTTCTGTGACTAAGGAAGCTCTATAAAGTAATTGTCATTGACAAATTTCACCACTGTCTCAGTCAGAAGCGACATTCATTACAAAAATTTTCAAAGATAAATGAGATAATTTTTAGAAATTTACATTGTCACAGCACCAATAAATTTTCGAAGGAAGAGAATCAATGCGACATTTGTCTATTAATTGACTCTGCATCCTGACTTGCATCTAATTAAGCATGAAGTATGTGATAGATTGTCAACACTGGTTTCTCATTGGGGAAGTCTTTAAGAAAATGGATATTTTATTGATACTAATAAATATAAAAGTTAAGTTTTCATTTGACAAGAAAATTTGGAATAAGTTGGCAATCAGGGAATTTAAATTAAAAAAAAAAATCTAATTAAGATCAGGAAATACAGGAAGTCTCATAGCAATATGTATTTTAAAAATATTAATTCAGATTATTTTTTGGTAAAAAAAAAAAAGATAATTATATTAAATTAAAGTTTTTTTTAAATATTTACAAAAAAAGTAAAATTTTAAAATTTTGATTAAACTGAAATTGAAAGAAGTCATATATGAAAATATTGATTTCAATGAACATTTAATTATTACCTTGAGAAATCTTGATCATTGTGAAGTATATCTCCTGTTTGATAAATAATATCCAACTGTGTTTTTGTCATTAAACCAAAATATTAAATAATGCCTGACGAACTGAGAAGTGATGTATGATTAAGTCACCTGTGATTGGCTGAACTCTGTGACCTTGGGGTCAAATTGACAGAAATAAACTCAGCGTTAACTAATAGGTCTATCTGTTCGACACCTCTCCGTCTTTGTAGTACTTGTGTGAAGGTATAAATTATGTGTGGTTCTGAATAAATTCAGCAAAGTAGTAGCTAATGTAATTAGATTTTTTTTCTATGTACATTTGTCCTGAAGGAAAACGGATATGTGGAAACATTGTCTCGAATCAATTAAATAGATCAGACTTGTGGTGTAACAGAATATTATTTATTCCCCGGTGTTTATGTCAATTGTGTACTGACTTGTGGAGGGACCCTTGGGCAATACAGGGACTGATATTGTCTCCTGAAAAATGTGGACATTCAGATGTAAGAGTGCTTAATTAGTTTGATTAATAAACATTTGTTAAAGCAGTTTGTCCTTTTGGGATGAAAGGGGACAATAAATATGTCATTTTAATGGGTCCTAGACAGTTTCAATGGCTGGGAAAGGCAATGCCTTAGACAATGGGGTGTAGGGTATAACATTTATGATGGAATTACTAATGATTTACAGGCCCAATCTGTTACATTTGCAGTTGAAAATGTAATGATATACAACTGTGCTCTATGACAAGAGAGAATGAAAATTGAGCATTTGCATTTGATTCATTTGATTTATAAGCTCATTCTACAGACATTAAAACCTATTATCTATGTTAACAGTTTGCAGTTGTATAGAAAGAGAGAGCGATAGAATGAGAGGGAGAGAAAATGAATGAGAGAGTAAACAAAATCAGTTGGAGTGGCCAGGTCCTTGAGACACATTCATGTCTCTACTTCAGAGAGTCCGGAAGTCTGTGTTGATTGTATATAATAATTTGCTGATAATATTAACAACCCACATCTGCTGGTGGAGATTCAATAAAAGTTGGCTCTGTGAAACAAAAAACCAGAATACCACCCATAAGTCTCCTAATGGACTCAGGCTCCAGGCTCATAATCAAAAGAATCAGACCTCAAGTTGGATCTCAGATGAGATAGATCTCGAGATATCAACAGTAGAATTTTCAAGAAAGTAGATCTGTGAAATTGGGGCAAAAAAAACTTAAAATGTGTCTTTATGAGAAATATAAATAAAAATTTTCATTTATGATGGATGGTTTTTGCAGATGTATGTATTTGTGTTAAAGGGTCCTTTCTTCTATTGCAATATTTTAGAGAATGAGAAGTTTTGAGAGAAATATGGTCAATTAATAATGAAATACAGGCTGAACAGGTGTATTGAACTAGAGAATAGATGATTTAGCAGAGAAAACAGAAAAGAGATCTTTTTGAAGTTGTCAAGTGCTGATGTATTCATATTTCCTGTGGGGTGTTATAATTTGCCGCTTCATCAAGTAACTACATTTTCTGAAATTGATGGTTTGAAATCTCTACACAGACACTGGAATGGGCCAGAAAATTTCAGGGAGTAAAATACAGTTTTCTTCCCAAGCCATTAGAATATTTTTCAGCCCCCATCCATCATGCAGTAATAGCTCGATCAAATTTTTTTTTCCTTAAGAGCAAAATATGGCATGTGTCACAGAACGAAATCTTCATTTATCATAAATGGCTATTTATCTTCAATTTATGATGAATTTCAGATCTATATTTGTTGAAAGAAATTCAAGAAGGGAATATTTTATAGATTAATTTATCAACACAAACATGAGAACAAAAAACCATTCTGTTCTACTAACCTTGTAAGCTGGTTATATGTTAAAAATCCATTTTCACAATAACACTAACACTTTTACCCACGAAACATGAGAGCTTCTTTAAGAAACAACTCGGAAGATAAAGTCAATGAATTAAAAGGTTTTTCGCTATTTTACCCCCTCGTAACCTTATGTGCCTGTCAATATACCAATCTCATCAAAGTAATAGGAGTTGGTCTGTCATATTTCTTCATAATTTCTCTGCGGTTAAGCTCTAGGAGGTTATTGTAGAGCTAGGCAGCCATGCATGCCCTCAGAATAATGTCTCCACTTTAATGCCTACAGCTAAAAAAAATCTTTCCCGATTAGGGTCAGCTTTTGCCAAATATTGTTACGCACAGGATAATGGGCATTATTATGATATGAGAGATAAAATAAAATTGATCATAAATAATTTGTTTTTCAATGAACTTCCCCCTATGCAAAGTTTGAATTCAGTGAATTGAATGTGCGTGCTTTATATAATATTCATATTTCTTTTAATCGTTGGTGTATGAAATTATGGCATTGTTTTCTAAGCTAGCATGTTATACATGTACACTTGGCCAATTGAGTAGAATTGAACACAAACAAAAAATAAAATCTTCAAAGGAAAACTAAATGAAAAATTAGTTTTCCAAATAATTATTTCACAAATTACACGGCACAATTTAAAGCTAAGTCAAGTTAATTTCAGTTTGTACTCAAATGTCAGGTTGTGTCATCTTTCACCTGATTTTGAATGAGACTCAGCATTTATGCTTATTTATAAACAATAAGGTACCCCCCTTTGGTTGTAAACTGATACTGCAGTGTCACACTTGGCAGTCGTTTGTCATTGAAAATTATGCATTTCATTAGACAGTGCCTCGAATTGCACTTATGATTTTAATAAAAGAATAAATATGACTTTGCAGAAATCATACAAATTTTTTGGAGACCTGTTTCAATCATGCTAATGGGGCAGTTTGTCCTTTGAAATGTGATAAAAAGAAAACACAAGGAAAAATTACCTCAAATTACCGGATTTGCTTGAGATGACGCCAGAACAAATTGCTTGTCATGTAATCTTCAGCTTTATGTGAAGATAACCTTTTTTTCTCATGGACTTTTAAAAGTTGTGATCAGATTTAGTTTCCAGGCATAGATGTCTGATCTTATTATTTAAAATTGTCTTCAACTGACATGATAATCCAATTAGACCAGATACACTATCAAGAATGTACTTTCTTTAAGACTTAAAAAAAATCCTTGCACTGACTATCTTCACTGGTTTCAAATCGAGGTTATGTCATTTGATTGAGGTTCAGTCATACCCTCAGATTTTGTGTAATGAATGTAAGAAATACCAAACTTTCAAGAGTCCTTGTTGCTCGGATTAAAACAATTCTTAATCTGGGTGTTATCACCTAGATGTTGAAATTTAAGCCTCTCGTGTACCAGCCCCTTTTCAACACAAATTGATAGAAAAATAAGCGAAGTTTGTCAACTACTCTCAGGATGTCCATAGCTTTGACCAGACTATCCAGCTTTGTCTTACACAATTATAATCTTAGCGTTATCACCTGGACCAAGATAAGAGCCCGTCAACCCACTTATCTGAAACAGGTATGTTTGGGACTGTCTGGGTGCTGGAGCCAGTGTGGGGATGAAGGTGTGAGGATCGCAAACAAGCTAGAGCATGAAGAACCCACCGTGGCGTCAACCGGGAAATTTACAAACTGGATTTAATAGTGGTCCTATTGATGTAATGGCAAGATATCAGGGCTGTATAAATTGGGGACATTTTCCTCTCTTCATTTCATTTGACTGGGAATAAAAGATATGTTTTTAAAACTTCCACCCAAGGTATTTACATTGGTTGTCTGGGTTTTATCTGGAAAAGGTGAAAGGGGGAAATCGGAAAGATTGTCACTAAATGACCCTAGTGACAAGCTGCGTTATCTGTGCAGTTGATCACTTTGTAGATCAGAGCTGTTCACCGAGTCTTGTTTGCCACCCATAGTCCCCATTTCAAAAGATCAGATTAAACAAGAACTTATCAAAGAAATCTCCTAGCTTTCTATTTTTCTCGTTTACTGAAAGCGGTCATTTCTTGGGCTTTGACGATAAAGAGAGCCCTAGAGGTAGACACAAAAAGCAGAATGAATCCTAAAGGAGGGATATTGACTCTTAGTGGAGTCCATTGTCAAAACATTTGTACAGGCCTTCCAGTTGAATTGACTTGTAAATAATGCTTGGTTAGACATTTCACTGATGATTTACCATGTTTAGGTATTAGTCGCTGATTTTTCATAGTGTCCATTTAAGCATTGTGATTGCAGTGACGCCACGTAATGAAAAAAAGTGATCATGTGAAACATTTTACTAATCACCCCTCATTTTTCTCAATCTCTTCACATAATATTTGATATCTGACCATAAGTGATTTATAGTTATTGTATAGGGCTCCATGATTGGTGTGGAAAAATATTTATTTCAGTCTGGAATGTCCATAAACTGTCCAAGACCAAATGAGCATCTCACCGTTGAAAACCAGTAATTTATAGGGGACTAGTTTATAGTCATCAGATTGACCTGAATTTATTGATTATAGTTTATAGGTTTATAAGGCAGGAAATTGACATCAAATTTATGTTTGTTAAATTAAGAGTATTTACCCTGTCAAGAGGGATAGCGGCCATAAAGCTGTTTTTGTTAGTATTAGGATTACATTGATATGCTTTCATGGCAGGTGTATTTACCAAACAATAGGAGTTCTAGTGATGTATTTATTTATTTAGTATGAATAATAAGTCAGAAGCAAAGAGGTCTTCTTTAAAAATCAGTGCAGAATTTAGAAAGATGGAGGAAATGACTGTATATAATTTATGACTTTTGATGGAGGAGGTTAAAATTCAGTACATTGTTTCATGGAATTATAATTCCTGTATCTGAACTAAGCTTTCTTGAGAGTTTCCTTTCCATTGCTATTGCAATGATTCAAACATAACTTCTAACTCAGATTTTGTTCCTGTCTATGTAAAGAAAGATATATAAGAAGATATTCAGATTCAGATAATGTTGCATATGATCAGTAACAGTGCAATATTCTGTAGTCTTTTCTTTATGTGGTAAGTAAAAAGATATGGATGTCCACAATAACATTCACAAGTTATATTGACCATCTTTTTCAATCAAGCTTCCCTAGGAATGTTGGAATGCTTTGCTGCAATAACTTGTTTCCGGAATTCCAAGACAGGAATGAAGCCACAGCTCCATAAAATATTGCATGTTGGTAAACGTAACATCAAGTTACGCTCTTTCTGATAGGGTTGGTGTGATTTCATCAGGTTTTTGATGAATTCTTCCTGACAAAGCGTGGCATTATTCACTGTTCATCACACATTTCTATCTCCATCAAGGTATTAACAATTGTTTTCGGAGTTCTTCCGATGAGTTCTGCCTTCAAGGCCTACAAGAATTCCCTCTTAAATACTTCATGGCTGCAGCCAATGATCTTTATATTCTCCAGGGATTATGTTGTGTTTTTTCTTGAGGCCATTAACAGAAGCAAGATTTTTCCCCCTGTTTCCTTTGATAAGAAAGCATACATTAAAGTTGTCTAACACATTATTTAAGAGAGCAAGACATTGCAGCCCTGACTTTATTTCACTTGTTATTGATTGCGCTATGTACATTTTAACAAGGAAAATTGCAAATGGGAATTGTCAGGGGGAAAGATTAGGTTTTAGAGGGAAACAGGGAGGAACACAAGTTTATCAGTCACTAATACGTACTCCTCCCATGCCTCGGTGTCTCAATTTATATACAGAAATGTTCATGATCATGAGAGATCACAATATTTTTTTGTAGCATTATAGCAGCCAACACCTTGAAGAGAACTCCTAGTTAACTATTGGGGTTTTTTATTGCTTCCCATTTGAATGCCCACCACTCTTACAGATCATGACATGGCTATCAAAATTCTATGGAGAGAGAGAGACAGAGAGAGAGAGAGATGAGAGAGAGAAAGTGTGAGAGAGAGAGCACTGAGTACCCTGTTGTAACATTATGTTCCTAAGATTGTTGGATTAAAGAGAACATGAAAACATCATTACTAAAAAAAAAGAACTTCAGATCAAAGTTACATAAAGCTGTACCATGGAGGGAAGAGATCCTTTACTTAAATGTGTAGGTCCCTGTAAAACGTCTTGTCTAGATTCTAATCAGATCCACTGCAATTTAACAGAGTAATCTGTTCTTAAATCAGTTTGTCTTTTTGAACCCATCCAAGGTAATAAATCATTTCTATATATAAAAAAACCCCACAGTATTATTACATGACATTACATGAGCAAGCATGGATGATTGGCCGTGCCAGTAGTATGGGATTTTGTGCTCTGCGAGCGTGCAGTTCTTACGACCCGAGACTTTAATATACTTGGCTCCACACTGACCAGGGTATAGCCTTTATTGTGGGGATCGCTTTGAAAATACGGATTTGGTCGATTTAAGAACTTGAATAAACAGTGTAGAGAATTGTGAGATAAATCCTCAAGGAAATGAGTTTTCCTAATGCACCCACTACTTTTTTGGCTGGTAAAAAATGTTTGAAAAGCTCTACGCCTTCAACTATGAGAGGGGAACAGCTATAATAGAATGTTTATCTTTGGGGAGGTGTGATTTTGATCTTGCAAACAAACTTTTTAACTTATCATTGTGCCCCATATGATCAGTTAGAGAAGAATCAAATTTTCAGATAACAAAAAATCAAGATAGGAAAAAATGGAATTCCATAGTCAAACCATTTTTTAAGTAAACGGCAGCAAAAATCATTGATTTATCATTCAAGCTCGTTAGAGATAAAATTGTCAATTTTCAAGATGAAAAAAATGTGATATATATTACCTGTAATTTGTATAAAACGTAATCCAAACTCTCACTGATACAGCGTGTGGTCGTCCATGTAAACAAATGGCTGGAGTATGGAACAGTCAGGGATGTTTGTGTTGATTCGGTGAGCTTTAATCTCCATCTGAGGGACACTCTTGTGGGAGTCTCTTAGTTTACTTAATTTAAATATTCTAGAGCATACACTTAAAATAAAAAAAAAAATCCTAAATGCACACCATATCAGTTAATCTGGAGAATAATACAAAATATCAGCTGTAAAATGAAGGAAATAATCTTATCTTTAACATTTGTCTGAATTATTGCGTGTAGAACTTGTGGTATTTAAAGTATTTTTTTTTTTTTTTAACACATGCTTGATGTAGATTGATTAAGTAAGGAATACTATAAATAAAGTGATATAATGGTGACTGTACAAAAATGCCACAGTTCATGTCAAGGAATAAAAAGAACAAAGAGGAGAAAATAAATTTGATAAAAAGTACAATGGGGGAAAAAAAACTACGACCTGTTCTTGAGCCTGCAAATTGATTGAAAGAATCTTTGTAATTGACTTGTCTGTCTCCCTAAGCCATCCTTTATTGTTAGCTTGTAAAGGTTAAAGCACCTTATAAAAAAATCTTCATAAGATAAATTAAACTTTAATTATATATTACGGTACCTAGGGATGATGGGATTAAGGAATCCAAGGGGAGTGAGATATAAAATGTTCTAGTCATGTTCAATTTTTAAGATTTCACTTTTACTTTTCCAAACAATATGGGTGATGGAGAGAGGGTGTTTTACGGAAATCCAAGGGGAGAAATAGTTTTGCCTGGGATTAGTTTAGAATAGTATTTCACAAACACATGTTAGAGATGTCTATTTTCCTTATGGATTTTATTTTTTCCCCCATTTGTGCCAGCTGGCATGAGAAGACAGACTTTTATGCTTAGATTTTTATTTCCCATTAGTCACTGTTTACTGAAAGTTACAGAAAGTGTTTGATTATCAATGTATCATGTTATGTAATGAATGCCGACTTTGGCAGATGTAAGAGTCCCGCATTAGTGTCCTCCAACTTCTGAATACTGGCCTGCCCTCACTAGGGATCTTTTTACTGGCAATCAACAAATCCAGTTCCTGTTTGATGAATGTCATTTAATATCCAATTTCTTGAAGGAACATGACTTGTTATGTAAATTCGCCTCTTATGAGATCAATAAATGATATTACTTCATCTCTGGAAACCCTCAAGTGTGGAAACAGTTTCCCTCTCCACCCTAATGAATTAAAAAACCATAATTACTAGACCAGAGGTTGTGTCATTGAGTTTGATTGCTTTAATAATCTAAAAGAACTTTTCCTTTGGTGTTTTTCAGGAAGTTTGTGGACCAATGTTTCGGACCATTCTCAGCTGGTCTGGTCGCTACAGGGGTCTACGCTCGCCTGAGGAAAGAGACACAGTCGCTACAAAAAGATCTGATGGTGAAAGTCAGGGAGTAAGTCAGGTCAAGGTTATCAGAGGTCAAAGTTCACTTGTTAAGTCACAGTTGCTTAGTTACTGAGATAAATATCAGAGCTAATTACATTTTTTGAAATATGAAGCAAATGTAGAACATTAATTTAGAAAGTTCATTTTGAAATCACACTTCTGACTTTTTGAGTATCATTTTTTTTTCCTTTTGATGTTTTTGGGAATTGACAATAACAGTGTAAGATGTGCATTAGTTTAAGTAAAGCATATGCCTTTGACAAGTTTCATGACAAAATCATTTTCCAAATGTTATCCTGTTTCCTGTGATTGATATTAATGATTCAAAATGTACTTGAAAGTCCATAATTTCTGTCAAAATCAAGATGGAAATACCTAGGGCATCAGGAGAATAAAAATTTCTTCTGTGAACCGAGAAGGATTACCACACACAAACTGTGATTAAAACATACAGCATGAGCGAATTAATATTGATAGATGTGATATCCTAAAAAAAATATTGCGTAACGTATTTTCTGAGAATTATGTAAGATTGAATGTGTATTTATGACTTTTTATCAGGAGAGAAGGCAAGCTATATACAGGGTTAATGTCCAACAACAGCGACAAGATAAAATTGCCGGAGAGAGAACTCAAGGTATATTGCCACGAAAATGGTGAAGTCAACTGATTTTATATCAAATAAATCAAAGAAAATTAGATTGAAAACAGTGAGGTCCAATTATTTGAAGTGCAAAATGATTATATTAATGGAGAAAGACCTTCAGCATTAAAAAACAACCAAAAAACCGAGACCCAACGTACACAAAAACTGTTTTGAATCAATAGAGTTTCATGAGGTTTTTGCTTGTACTATAAATGAGAAAAAAGGAAAGAAAGAGAAAACCTGATGTATTCCAGTGCATTGAACTGTCAGTATACTGTCAGTAGTTCATGACAGAAGTGTAAACACATAGTAGATTCATTGATTATGCAGTGCAAAACAATACATTTTATAATGAAATATGAAAATTGACACATTGGAGCTAATCAAAGAGAACAGTCTTTAGATGGCAATATCAAGGGATAGCATTGAAGCCAACTACTATCATATATATTCACCATAAATATCCCTGTATGTAGTTCATCTACAAGTATTTCATTAGAGAAGGAAATTTAGAACATTGCTTATACAAAATGAATATCAAAAATGATTTTAAAAATCTAAAAATATATGCTGTGAAGAATTTGTGCTCAATCTTACATTCCCCCTTTTTTATCAGTTATTTTTATTGAATAACGGTACTTTAAAATTAATTAAATTAGGTGTTGTTTTTCTTCCAAGAAAAGTTTGCTTGTGTGGGTTTTTTAGTGTATTAATCAAATGTTCAGGAAATTGACACCCACCCCATTTGTTGAATTATGGAGTTTAATCTATCAATGCAAAGTAAGAAATCCCATTAAACACATTCTAATTTCCTTAAACATGATTTAGAAATGAGAAAAGTAGTATAGTCTTATGAAAAGTAAGCTGGTACTGTGTGGTTTATCAGATTTCACTAATGCAATTCCCTAAAATGTCTTTCAATATTCTGTAAGAAATATTGAAAAATAAAATGCATTAGTTTTTCTTGAGTGATATAAGTGAATTCTGGAGCCATTACATTCTTCGGTTTAGGAATTTTGGAAGATATTTATTTCTTATGATAGAAAATTATGCATTAGGAATTGTGGCTTTTCATTATAATATAAAACAAACCCTCTGTAACATATCCCACAGGCATTGCTGAAATTAAATATAAATTCTCTCTGTGACACAAGTAATGCAAAAACCAACAACAGATATTTAGCAAGATCAAAAGGGGTCAAAATACCAGGGGTCATTATACATATCTGATTAGAGTGGTAGATTTATGAACATGTTCATCAATATAAAAAGAAGTGAAAAGACAGAATGATGGAATAGTGGAAGTTAAACACATTGTTGTCAGTTCTTATAAACAAATGTTTTATGCAGCATATCCTGTTTCTATGACTTGTTTAGTCCTAACTTTTTTTCCTTGGGACTATATACGTATGATTTAGGGGGTCTTTTTTATGTTATTGTATAATGTACTGAAGAACAAGTTTATTGTTGCTTTATGAAGCAATTTCCCACTTTGTTATTAACACAAACACCTGAGGTGATAAAGCTTAAATAAAACTTGTCAGCGGGGAAGAGTTACAATGTCAATTTATCAGCAGTGGTCTTGTTCTGAATAATTTCGTTAATTTTCTTAATTGTTTAGTAGATATACTGGTCATGCATTAGGTGAGGTGTGTGCATCTATTAAGCTGCATATGCTAAACAAAACCTTGTACAAATGTAGACTTCATCAATAAATATGTAAATTTCCAATAAATTTCCCCTATGATTCTTTACAAATAAGAATACAGTTCATTTTCTCATGAACTACCGTGAATGGGCATGAATATCTCCATTGTTACGTCATAATACCTCACTCGACATCAGAACTATAGTGCAAACTGTTCTGCTTTAAAAATGACATTGAATGGCGTTATTTGAGGCAAATCATCAGAAAATAATGTAAATATAAGAAATGAATTTAATTTTTGAAAATTCATGAGGTACATGAACTACAACGCTTCACACCGGCATATTTATCATGAAGCGCTACCGCGCTTCATGAAATATGCTGGCGTGAAGTGTCGTAGTTCATGTCCTCATGAATCTTCAAAAATTAAATTCATTTCTTAAGTGTATGCACTGTGCACTCACTTCATATTTCAGTGATCAGTGTTAACATGGTCATTAAAGTTAAAATTTATATGAAATATTGTTTCAAAAACGTGACTTTTTGTATACTTTAATTCTTTCTGATAATAGAAGAATAAAATTTGGTTTAAATGTAGTATCCATCATGATGCAAGTATTCTGTTTCTCAACTTTCTTTTCTTCAATAAACAATATGCATCAGCTTCATTAAAAAATTATAAAAAAAAAAGAAGAAGAAAATTACTTCAGAAATATTTTAATTTGTTCTTTTTTTTTTTCGTTTTATAAAGGTTATGACATTTTTAAAAGAAAAATCTTAAAACCAAAAGAAGAATATTTCAAACACTCAAAATTCCACTTTTCTCCTAAATTGTTTTGAAGTTCATACCTTCAGAGCTACAGTCTCATTAGCGACATCTGGATTTATTTGAAATGATTTTTTTTTATTGTAGATAACCATTCTTCAAGGTGCAAAGTTATTAGAGAAGTTTTATATAGAGAGGGTCTTGCCTAAGATGAATATGACCGAAGAGGAATTCTGGGAAAGAAAAATGTTAGAATATAGAGATTGGAGAGGTAAACTAAAACCCCCCAACAAAAAATAAAAAATAAAACAAACAAACAAACAAAACAAAACAAAATAAAACTAATGTCAAATTTATCCTAATCTTTGCTTAACACAACTTCTTATATAAAATCGAAGGACAGAGATGATTAAAAAGCACACAGTGGAGATTATCAATACACAGTATGCAACGTAACATTGTGAAATCATGGCAGCCTTTCAAATCACCTCAAATTATCCAAAACCAATAGATAATGTGGCTGTAGGAACCGGTGGATGGGACACAAGGTGGGCTGTGGCCCCCCCCCCCCCCCCCCCCAATAGTTTTGCTGATATATATAGTATACTATAGATATCTGATGCCCCCTCTTTTTCTTTCTGCTTGTCAAGGAATTTTTGCTTTGTAGTGCCCACCCAAACTGAAAATGTTTGGTGGCTGTGCCCCCTGCCCCCCTCTTCCAAACAGAAATTGCTTAGTATGGACCTGTAACAAAATGTAATGGAGATCAATGGACAAATTTTAGGGCAAGCTATATTTAGATGGCACAAACATATTTATTCATTATCAGAATTTTTAACACCCAACTTGCAAATTAAGAATTCCTTTGAAAATGAATATTTCAACATTTAATGCACTTTATGGTGGTAAATTTGCATTAGTAATATTTAACCTTTCATTCCAAATAATTATCTTTTTTTGGTTGTGATAAATGGTGACTGTCATGAACATTGATACAGTTACGTCATATGAGAAGAGGACAAATTTATGCACATATCATTTATTGAAGTTTTCTGAAAGACATACATGTATATATGGCAGTGCACTGCATAGTTTACAAATACATGTATCAAAATAATAGCAGCATTAAAGTCCTATTTGAAAAAAATCAGGCAGATGTTTGTTGTTAAGAATGTGACCACCATGGAATATAATAACTATAAACATCACATTAGTCAAATTCATGACAAGTCATCTCAAAAAGTACATGTATACTTTAAAATGACATAATTATCATGGTATACAGGCAGAAAAATTGATACGAAGGGGCATTTATGATGATCTCTACGGTTATTTTTCAGAATTTTTTCTTTTGAAATTAATTTTTTCTGAAAATGTTATTATTGTTTTATTAGTAGAAGTGTCAAGACCATTCTTAATAGTCAAGCATATATGGTAATTTTTTTGGTTCTCAAGTGAAAGAAAAGGGAATATTTTAGATGTGATGTAACATGTGGATGATTTGTGGTTTTGAAAAGACAACATTTTTTGGGACATTGTCACGCACTAGATAAACACCCTGTAAATATGACATGATCAATTACCATAATCATCGCAACTTGTTTTAGAACTACAACATTTATGAATCTCTCATTAGTTACTCATTTTTCACAACATGTGTTTTTCATGTACATATTTCAAATCTTTAAAGAACTTGGTCTACAAAAGACAAAAGTTTCCTTGTTTCTGTACAACACACAGCCATTACTTGGGTGATGGTGAATGTTGGAACCAGGTTTACTTTCATTTTAATTGTGAAGAACATGTACCGTTGATATCATTTTCAACTGTTCCTCATGTTCCGAGGAAAATAAAATGGAAATAAAACAAGTGTCACAGGAAGAACATCAATGTCGCTAATGTCTCTTTTTCATGTTTTCTTTTCTAGGTCTTGTGAGTAAAAAATTTTCCGAAATTTTTTCAAAGGCATTTTTAATTCCCTTGGATGAGTCAGATAATTTCTTCAGATTGGAGGTTAGTCTACAATAACTTGCATTCAAGTGCACCAAAAATATTAATTTCTTATTAGTATGAAATATGAAGATAACGAATAATAATCAAGCTTAAAAGCCTATTGGAATAATAAAAATTGGGAGCAGAGCAAACATGGAGCAAACTCGGACCTCTAAATGCATCAGAGGTGGGATCAGGTGCCATTTAGGAGTAAGCATCCCCCTGTCGACCGATCACAACCACCCTATATTAAATCAACCTAGGAATGAAAATAAATATTGTTAATTGATAAAATGTTGTTGATATAATCTGAAATTTCGAATTAAAGGCCATAGCAAGAGACTTTATGTCCAGTAAAATGTTTCATTCAAATCAAAGGGGCAGTTCTTGTAAAAAATAACCTGTTGGAAGAAGTCTTAAATTTAGAATGTTATACATGTACCACAGGAAACATAATCATTCCACATTTTATTGAGATAAAAATACATTTCTGGATATTTTATATGGACAGTACATTATGTGTGTGAATTTTAACATTGTTTTAAGGTGACATTATTATGGATATGTTCTATATATTTTTTAATAGGTAAATCATTTGAATTTGGGCCGTTACACCAGCATGTTGAGTAGTGGAAACTATAGAGATGACCTTGACCTGGTTACAGAAATTCACTCTCCTAATGGTAAGTTGAAATAAATAAATTTTTTATTTAGAATTTATCATTACTTACATCAGAATAATAGACACTTTAACTTAATTTGTACTAAAAATGTTGATTTTGTTTAACAACATTCATTAATTGCAGTAGCCAAAATTTAGCAATTACTATTTCAATATCTTGTCATATTGATTCATATTTTTGATGATTGGAAATCTGATTTTCAGCAATGCCCTTTGGTAAATGTTAGTATTTAAAGTTTATGATTTTTTTTTTGGTTCATAAACTAACACTCTCTCATTCATTCATAAGTGGAGCATTTTCTCTCTCTCTCTCTCTCTCCTACTATAATGTTAAACATGATCTTGCACAATTACCTTTTAATGTAAAATTGCTCTTATCCATACTGAGTTTCTGACATACTGGTATTATCCATTTTATACACAGATTTTCAAAGTAACAATAAAAGGGAGGTAATAAAGATAAGTTATATGTTTAAAAGTACAGTCATATCTCAGAAAAAAGCCATCTATTAAGAATAACTCCATTGAAATTTTTAAACATTTTTTTTTAAGATCTATGCCTAGGATTATATTTCATGACCAGAAATATTCATGAGTGAAAGAAGGTCGTGAAACTTGCGGATATATCTCGCATGCAAATAAAAGTTGGTGTACAGTAATTGTGAAAAGAAAGTTGATCAATATTTTGTTTACTTTCATTCCAATATTTCCTGTGTATATTTACCATTACCAATAAGTTAAAACGTAGATAAGTTCTCTGCTATGTAGTGTTTGACAATAAATTCAATCAAGAGATCTTTCAAACAAAATTCTGAAAGTTTATTGTCAAACACAAATGTAAGTATGCAATGTTGCACCATGAAAAATTAATAAATTAGGAAAATCAATTCTTTTAAGAGGGTGGCATAAGGAAGAACTATGGTGTCCGTGATAATTTCAGTGGCAAAGTTTGAGATATGGCTGTACACTCCTTTGTAAATTATAGGTATATCCAGTATGTACTTTTATCTAACTTACATTTTAAAGATGTAAGCTATGAATAAGTTCATGATAAAATAACAGCATGTAGTAAACTGGACAGGTATAATCAAGAAGCAACATTTTTAACTGTTATGAATATTACTTATGTAGGGCCAAATTTGGGTTTCAATGCTCATTGTTCTTTGACTGAAAAGTCACATATATGTACATAACAAAAATAAGTTGGTACAGGTAAATTTATCACTGTGATACTGTTGTTTTGACATCAATTATTATATAAATATTAAAAAAATCAAATATCAAAGAATCACTATTTAGTCCCAGAAAATTAGGGAAATACAAGTAGATCTGCACATTCATGTCCTGAAAGTTTGACTGAAATGTTTTGTGATTTTGGGTTTACATTTTGCAAACCCCAGCATGTTGAACATTTTCAACACCCAGATATTTTTTTTAACTTGGTCAACAATGCAAACTCAAACTCAGCATGAAAACAAGTTGCACCTCAGCACTTTAGGCAGATTATAGTTGGTTAAATAAGGTCCGTGTCAGCATGATAAACAAGTGAAAAGTCAATTATACATGTAGCGGGTAATGCTAAAGAAGTGTGGATGTAGTTTTCATGATGGAAATTGTCTTGTGTAGAAAACCTAACAACAAGATGGCACCAAAAAAAAAATACTACAACTGTTAGGAATGTAGGTGCTTAGACATTTTGTTTTTTAATCACATGTTGGTAATTTTTTTGTTTAAAACTGAGGTACTGAAATTTTCAAAAATGAGTACAGCATTACTCTGTTTTCAAAAGAATTTGTGTTTCAAATTGTATGAAAATTCTGAATGTCGATCTTTTACTGAAATGTTATACTTTCAGGGGACGTGGTTGCTAGAGCACCATCTTTAGACCTGAATTATTTTGATCCCAACAAAGTCATCATTTACACCACACGATACAAGTTGTCAAGGTAAATTAGTATGGATGGGCATATATTCCATATTTAGTATTCAGTTAATTCTGTGGTTGATCATCCAAAAATGAGTCATTCTAAACAAAATTTAATAGAAAGCAATTAAGCATCTTCGCTAACCATGCAGGGGTTTATGATCTGCACCACTCCTCAGGAGCTCTTTTGAGGAGTGGTGCAGATCACAATCCCTTGGCTAGCAATGATGGCAATTAAATACAAGGATGTTAAACTTTACATACATGTACATCACAAAGATAGTTTCAAACTGTGAAACATGAAAATCATAAGCTTGTATTTCCACAATTTAGTATAACTTTTCAGCGGAAATGAAGTTTAATTCCACAAAAATAGGTCAAACATTTTTAGCTCACCTGAGCTAAAAGTTCAAGTGAGGTTTTCTCATCACCGATTTCTCAGCGACCATCGTATATCTGTCTATTGGTCTGTAAACTTTTCGTATTTTCAATTTCTTCTCAAGAACCACTTAGCCAATTTTATACAAAGTTTATGCAAAGCATTCTTGGGTAAAAGGTTTTTAAAAATGTTCAAATAAAGGATCAAGCCCCCTTCCAAGGGGAGATAATCAAGAAAAGGTAAAAATAGGGTAGGGTCATCAAAAAATCTCAAGAGCCTTTGGGCTAGAAAAGATGAAGTTATGTGAAAGCAACCTGAGGTGTAAATTCTAAATTGTTCAATTTTTGGCCTCCAGGGGCAGGGTGCTGGCATAATAGGGAATCAAAGTTTTACATTGAAATATATAGGATTTTTTTTTAAAAATCTTCTCAAGAACCACTGGACCAGAAAGGATGAAACTTGACAGATAAAGTAGATGCAAAATTCTTCAATTTATTCCTGGAATTTTCTTCTCCATAACTGCAAGGCTATATTATTCATATTGATGTTGAAGCATCCCCTTGTTGTGTGGATTCAGAAACCCTTTAGAGTTATGGTGAGACCATAACATGGGGTCACAATTCTTCATGGGAATATAAAAATCTTTTGAAAATCTTTGGATGAACAGCAGGATGAAAGTTACTCAAGTAAGCTTTGTGGCTCATGGGCCTCTCATTCAGTTGAATCAAATTGAAGTCTGATTTCAATGTGAATGACTTAATAGGTCTCAAACCTTGATTCTCCCAAAATATGTTTACATACATTGTGTATTGTAATGAAGATTTTGTTGTTGTCTAGATCTAGGTCAAAACCATGGAAACCTAGAAGGAGGAGTGTCACTTTTGACCAGTTACAGATTCCCCTCCCACTGCCACACCCAGCTGTGATAGCCCTATCTATTTATAACAGGTAAATTTCTGATTCACAGTCACATGCTAGCCCTGTCTATTTATAACTTACAGGTAAAGTCCCATTCCACTGTTACAAACAGTTGTGATAGCCCTGAATATTTATAACAGATAAATTCCTATTTCACTGCCACACCCCAGCTGTGATAGCCCTGTCATTTTATAAAACATAAATACTCCTTTCACAGTTACACCCAGCTGTGATAGTCTTGTCTATATTAGGTAAGTTTTCATGTAAAAAAAAATCATGAAAAAAATCTGCAATGACAATATTATTTAAGATATTTGGGGGTTGAGCTTTAATAAATAAAATGTTTTAAATAAGGTGTATTTGTCTAGACGCTATGCATTTATGAATCTTTTTTTAGAAGTATTTTTTACTTATAGTTAAGGTCACATAACTTAAATGTATAGACTGATTATTTAACATTTATAGAGAACATGAGCAGAGTCCCAACAACCTAGAAGATGCCTACTGTCAAAGGATTTTGAAGGCCACTAAGGAAGTCCCATACATTGACCTTGGAGAATCCATGACGGAGGAGGAAATGGACCCAGAACCTAGTACCCCAGAAAATGGTGCAGAGGAGGATCTAACTTTTCTTCACATAGCACAACAGGAGCGGACATTTTCTGAGGAGGACATGGCAAGAATGCAGGAGACCAACCCAAAAGAGGTGCGGGTCACAATCCACTCTCCTGAGGGGGAGGGGCGCCCCATCCCTATGGTTGATGAGGGGATGGTGGTGTATTCTGAACCTGAAGGAGATAATACTTGTGTGGATGTTTAGATCCTCCCCATAGCTTCTGTGATAAAATTTAGTCTCAGTAGACAAGTTTATCTGAAATACTCCCATCATTCACTGCTTTGTTAGTTATATACAGAACAGAATGTATATGTTCTGACTTTTAGTTCAATCTTCTTCAGTTCATTACTCCTCTAGCTTTTTTGTATTTTTTTTCTCTGATTTGCTCTTCCTATGAGAAATTGATGTGAAATATGTGTTCAGGATTTTTCATAGAAAAGTTTCACTGGTGCTAATATTCACAAAGCAATGCTGAAGCAGTCTGTCCCCTTTTGTTTTCTTGCTTACAGCTTGTTTAAAGGTCATTTGTAAGTATACATCATATAAACATTGTTGTACTCAAATCATACAGCATAAAATATAACTTACTGATATATTGGCATACTAAGAAATCTCAACATACTGTAAAAGGTTACTGATGGGGTGACCATGTTTTCTTGTACAGTGCATGTCATGTACAGTCTTGAATTTTATCTAGAAAATCAGCCCCATGTGTATATTTATGTATTTTATGATATATGTATGATATATTGTTGTATTGATATGTAATGTTGTGCATTAAGATCTTGGTTGTTTGCTATATGTATTTTGTTTATAGTATTGTTTTGCCCAGATTTGTGCCAAATTACCTGAAAATGAGACATATATTAATTTAGTCTTATTACTATAATGCAAATTTTTAAATGTAATAGGAAAGTCCTATATACATACATTTTATGTCATAGTTCAAGGAAATTCTTTGTAGCGTACTTAAAATATTTTAGTTGTGCATTGTACATATCAGTTTCATAGCTTTGCAAGGTCTTCCAGTTTCATGTATTTCTGATTTCATCATTACCATTTGTATGTCTCTTTGATCAATAATTTTTAAGAAACAATGCTGACTATATTCTCAACTTTATTTTAATACCAGGAGAGTGCCATGTAGTAACCCCAAAAATGTAATGCAAATGTAAAAGGTAGCCATTATTTATGTTTTCTATGCGTTACACCACAAGAAAATGAAGAGTTACTTCCCCTTTATAGAATAGCAAAGATTATACTTTTATCATGTATACATTATTATGTGTTTTTTTTTATTCCTACTAGCTTGGGCTAGTGGGTTAACCCTTTAGCTCAATTGGTAGAGCATTGACCTGGCTTGCTAAAGGCTCCAAGTAAAATCCTAAGCAGAAGCACATACATGTACATGATTAGAGACTCAAAGATGGTAGTCCAGTGATCCTTAGCAATTTTTCCTTCTATTCCTTATTGCCTCCACTGTAATGTAATGTACACAATCTACGAGTTCTTTCAACAGGTATTTATCTATAATGCTTTCTCAGGTGAATTTCATGAACGTGCATGATTATAAGCACATGATAATACATGTACATGTATCCAAATAAACAATCTAAAAAAAAAAACTTACTCTAAATGAAAGGAGCATTTTAGTATTGTATTTTTCCTGAAACTTTAGTTGATATTAATTATTACTACATCTTGACAGAGAAATGGAAGTTGCTACTTGCTGCATAGTACTCTAGTTTTGATGGAAACCTTGGATTTGCATTGACTTTGAATAAGATTTGAATTTTTTGAATGTATTCATTTTTTCTTGCTTTTCCATTTTTAATTCTGATTGGAAGTTAATTTGACACTTTTGCTTGTGAGATTGTATTTGTAGGTAAAGAAATTTGATACCTCATTAGTTTTTTTTAGTTTAGCTGTACATAGCAGATTTTAATGCATTAAATATTTTTTATTATGTTAAATGTTTTTAATTATTTAATTATTATGTTAATGTTTTAAATATTTAATTATTATGTTAATGTTTTACATTTACTGGCATAATGTGTAGCTTTTTTTATGCCCCAGTAATCGAAGATTCAGGGGCATATAGATTTTGCCCTGTCCGTCCGTCTGTCTAGCTGTCTGTCTGTCTGTCTGTTTGTCCACAAAAACTTTAACCTTCCCATAACTTTTGATTGGTTGAAGCTATGGCTTTCATATTTCATATGTGTATTCCTTGTGATGAGACCTTTCTTTGGGTACCATCATATTTGACCTTTTGACGTTAACCTGGGAATTTGACCTACTTAAATTTTGAAGAAAAAAAATTAACCTTGGCCATTACTTTTGAACAGTTAGTGCTAGGATTTTCATACTTCACATGTGTATTTCTTGTGACAAGACCTTCCTTTGGACACCAACAACTCTGACCTTTTGACATTGACCTTGGAGTTTGACCTACTGTTGAAAAAACTTAAACTTTGGCCATAATTTTTGAACAGTTGGTGTTAGGGCTTTCACACTTCACATATGCATTCCTTGTGACAAGACCTTACTTTAGATACCAACAACTTTGTCCCTTTGACCTTGGAGTTTGACTTACTTTTGAAAAACTTTAACCTTGGCCATAACATTTGAACGGTTGGTGCTAGGGCTTTCATACTTCACATATGTAATCCTTGTGACAAGACCTTTCTTTGAATACCAACATCTTTGACCCTTTGACCTTGACCTTGGAGTTTGACCTACATGTGGAAAACTTTAACCTTGGCCATAACATTTGAACGTTTGGTTCTAGGGCTTTCACATTTCAGGATCATGTGTATCACTTGTGACAAGATGGAGTTTGACTTGCATTTGAGAAACTTTAACCTTCACCACAAGCTGCCATATGGGGGCATCAGTGTTTCACAAACACATCTTGTTTTTTTTTTTTAAATTCTTGTGATGATAACTCTCAAGACACTGTTTGTTCAACAGTACCTTATGATAATTTTTCAACTCAGATAGTTGAAAAAATAGCATTTTGAGGAAAATTGAATTCATTTTTTTTTTATGTGTTAGGTATTTTTTGAAAAAAAAATGATTTTTTAACATGAGTTTAAGAAACACCACAGATATCAGCAGATTAGAAATATTTACATGCTGGGAATGGTACAACAAAGTTTACTTCTGAATTTCTGAATGGGATACCACCAATATTCACCAATTGAGCAGAACTATGTGTTATACAGTTGTATAGTGAGCTTCTTTTATGAGTATTGTTGAAGTGAAATTTCATTCATGCAATGTTCATCACTGGGACATATATTGAAAACCATAGTGTCTATTCATATAGATATTTTGTATTTAGCCTTTTATTAGCTCACCTGAGCCAATGACTCAAGCAAGTTTTCTGCTTGTCAATTGTCAGTTTGTCTCTTAACTTTTCACATGATCATAAAACATTCAAATTCTCATTTACATCCTCAGATATCTCTAAGTATTTTCCTGGTCCTATCAAGTTCAAGATAATGAAGTTTGACTGTATCTTGCTTACACTAGGAATTTTTTTAAGGAACCCTGATTTGATAATATCATCAGCTAGTGCAGCAAAGTTTGTGGCATATTGTAAAACATATTGTGGCAATTTCCTTTGTTACAGTTTTTCATGTACATGTATTTCTATCCAAAAAATAAAGAATACTTACATCAGGTACATGTAGTTCCCTACACATTCTTAAATGGTTTGATATTATATTTTTCAAAATTGTTGAAACCCAGTAAAGAGGGACTCAGGTGAGCATTGTGGCCTATTGGGTTATTGTTCATAATTTTTATTCATGAACGTCACCATTTTGTTTTAAAAAGGATTAAGAAGAAAAGGAGTTTTTTTTTTCTCTTTTTTTTTTTTAAACTGTATCCTTGCCAAGTTATTCACATTGACTGCTGCCAAAGTGCAAAGTTTTACCAAAAATAAACAACTCGAGTCCTTCTCCTTTGCTTGTTCATTAGTTTATGTGTTTGTTTGTTTCAGAAGTTTGAATGAGAGGACTTCAGTGCATGTTCGCCTTATTTTGTCAGAGGAAATTCCAGTAGAAGAGTTTTTGAACTTTAGTTAAAACATCTGTATTGTTGTTGAGTAGCATATTTTGATTCAATGTTTTGCTAGATGTTTATATAATATTGATTTTATTTGTTTCTATGAAGAAAAGTTATATTTCTTGTGATGCTTTTCATGTGAAGTTATTTAGTGTTTACTTTTGTTACTCGGTACTTTATACCCTGTTTGCACTGACCACAAAAGCACTGGCTCTAAAATTAACCCTTGCTTCTTCCTGGCTGCTTACCTTTACTTTAGTTGAAAGAGATAGTGATACAAGATAAATACTTTAGATTCACCACATTTATAATGGTTTAATATCTTAGTAGTTAGATGCAAATTTTTTCATGGAAAAATAATATGCTACTTTTTGTCTCAATCTTTTTCATTAAAGAACACGTAAAATCACTTAAAATTTAGGTCTTTTGACTAAGTCTTTGAAGGAAATGGAAAAAACTGTTGGTTGTCTCATTTTGTTTGTTTGCTTTTTTGGTTTGTTTCTTTGTGGGTTTTTTTTTTCTCGTTTTTTATGGAAGAGTTAGGTATAATAATTTTATGCATATATACATGTGTATATATATATAAGCAAATTATATGATTAAAAGATATACCCAGGTAAGATCTATTATTGATCCGTAACTGCAAGATAGAGCTACTTTTAATTTAATTTCAATTATAAACATCCCATTAACTCCATAAGCAATATTATGTTGCTAATTTGCCTTCCTTTGTTGTGTCCAGTTTTATGGTTTGTTATATGGTATAATGACAAGTGCATACTTTCATCATTTCCCTATCATATTCTTTAAGACTTGCTATACTACACTGTCATCTTATTGATATGACTTTTAATGCCAGCATAATGGACTTGTACGAGCATAATGTGAAGGATACTTTTTTATCTGTGCAATATATTACTGTTTGTATACGAGATAAAAATTGGAAACATGATTTAATTTCTCCTGTATGCTTACTTTGTTTTCTTATTCTAAATAGCGTCTCGTTTGATCTGATGATATGTGCCTGTTAACTTGATGTGATACGGCTCTTCAGATCAAGTTACTGTTATAATATTATGTATAGCATTGAGCTTTCTCACAGCTTCACCTTGCAAAATTTAGTAATTGATATCTGCACTTTCTATAATAAAGGTAATTTAATCATGAAATGGTTTGTTGCTTATAAATTGTGAAAAGAGTTTGTGAGAAATGTATCGAGACAAAATTCATGAATATTCCTGATAATGTAATCTTGCATACTGTAATTAATACAGACATAGGTATGCGGTTTATTTCTCTCGAAGGGAGGAGTGGTTTAAAGTAAAGAAAGTCCAGTCAAACATGGGTAGGCTGAACTCTGACAGATTTGCAAAAAACAAGTTTTAAAAACTGTAGAAGGGACAGTACGTGGCCTCGCCACAACACTTCACTGGTATTCCACATATTGGTGTTCAAGATACAGATCAAATTTCAACTTTACAGGAATAGTATTATATCATCAAATATGATACAGTTGAACTTTGGTATCTCAAACAACGATATCTCTAATAGCATGGATATGTCAAATCCGTTTATTTTGGCAGTTCCAGTCACTTTTTCTCTTATATATTATCCTCTCAATATGTTGAAGTTTTTCCAAGTTCAAGATAATAAGGTTCAACTGTAATTAGTTTGATTTCCTAAGTTTGGATAAAAGGACAACTTGATTGAAAGACTATAACTAATGGGTTATCTAAAGCCCTAGTTAATCTGGGCTGCATTCAAGATTGTAGTAGCTAGAATAGCTGTAGCAGTTAGCCTAGCTGCTAGGATAGATATCTAGGTCTATTGTATGAATTAATGTCTGTTATTCGTATATAGCAGCAGTGCTAGTATATCACTCACAATTTTAGGTCAAGGTAGAGCTATCCAGCAGCTGCGATCTTGAATGCAGCCCTTACACGTATCTGGACCTGGGAGCGTTTGATAATGATAACATACATAGTTTTTCTTTCTCTTGGTAACACTCAAGGAAGAACTAATATTTTCAAAGTAAAATTTAATACAGTTTTATTTAACTAAAAATAATTGTAAAATGTAGCACTAGTTGCAACACAGTAGAAACATCTTTGCTTCAATGATCATGATAGATGGTCAGAAAAACTACAAATATGTAATGATTTGAAAAATATATCCCACAAAAAATAAACCAGCTAACAAATTCTGAAAATGCAATTGAAAAACACTAGGAGACATTATTTTCCACCTTGTATTTATAATGACAATAATACATGTATACCACAACTGATTATATCTATGTGAAAATATAAAAAAAAATATATGAAGTTGCACTGAAATAGGTGTTGATAGAAATATCAAGCTGATTTTTTAGGTGCTTAAACAGTACTGGAAAACCTTAAGGTTAACACGACTAAAGCATTTGTTGTACAGTTGTATAGCATACAATTATACCAGATGAAATATAGTAAGTATATTAAAAGTTTTGACATGTTTAACTTATTTTGAGAAATATTTGACTATGGCACATTGTTGCAAGAATTAAAAACTTTTAACATTAGTGTTCACACTAAGCTAGTAATTCCTTCAGACTGCTTTGTACAAAGAAGTGCCATGTACAATAACACTGTATAATAAAACTGTTCCATATAGACAATGAGAATGATTAAAATACAAAAAATTTTGAATGACATATTGAGTTTTAACTGATGACTTTGAGTCCCGATTCAAAAAGAGAAATCTTGGCATGATTTCTTTGTAGTGATGTTCACAATAGCATGCCTTTTTTTCTGGGTTAGTTCCACAGAAAATTTTCAAGTTTTTGAACTAAACAATAATGGTCCCCTCATCAAATCTTTAACCTTTTTGTACTTGTATTGGGCTTTTCCTCCGAGTCTGATTCCTCTGCTGGCCTCTTTTTGGGTTTCTCTTTGTTGGCACTTTGTGCAGGACACGGCTTGAGGAGCCACCTAACATTGTTCTCCAGAAACCCTCTCAACCCTGGAGGAAGGCTGACCTCTTTAAGTACATCTAAATGGGAGGGTATGACTTTACGCATAATTTGACAACACATGAATTGTAGGGAGGTGGGAAATGAACTGTTACTGATCACCTTCATCCCACTCCTAGCGGCCGTGGATGACACGATGGGATACAGAATTCGCCCCTGAAGTCCATGGTATGCTACTCCTACAAAATGTGTATAACAATTAAATAATTACGTACTTCATGCTCTTCCACTGAACATATTAAATATCATTTAAAGAAGAAGTAACAATCGGCATTGATTTGGGCCCTAAAATTTTAAGATGAAGGCAGAAATCTAACACAAGGAAAACGGAAAGCTATATACTCTTTTAAACAAAATAAAGTTAAACCTTGTTATCTTGAACTAGATGGGGCTGAGAAAAAGCTTCGAGGTATCTGAGGTTTTAAGATATTGTTGTTCTAATACAATGGAATCAAAACTCCCATTTCATTTTGACATCTCCATGGTATTCTGACATGGATGTTTGAGATACTATAGTTTAACTGTATGTGCTTTTAAAATTAGCTCACTGTGTTGATACATATAATGAATTGTGTTTTTCTTCCTTATCTTCTTTTTGAATAATAAAATCATTAAAAATAATGCAAAGGCCTTTTTGGGACTTTTCCAATAAAAAATTACAAAGAAGAAGTAAATATATTTTTATCTTATAAGCATCAAGAAGTGACACACTATTCAGAAGATTGAGCACAGGGGAGTCCAGTGTACCAAGTTTAATGTGTGTCAAGCAAAGGGTTCTCAAGATATTGAGTGGACAACACTTGGTCTACTGACCAAGCTCAAACATCATCTTTTCTTTATTCCATATAACCCAGAGAAAAGAAAGGGAAATTTTTATCTCATGTCTGTACAATGTTTGGTTCAAACTCAAGTTCAAACATGAATTATAGAGAAATTATTAATTTTTTTTCAGCTCATTCAGGACAATTAGCATTTGTTTGAATAAATTGATCTGTAAATATATATAGTAACATCCAAAATCAAAGAAAATTAGGCAATTGCAGAAAATGTCTTTTATACCTAATGGTTTTCTATTTCTGTAAAATGATAATGTTCCATGCCACATGTCAAGATGGACTCCTATAATGGCACCCTGGCCAAACTTGCTGGAATAGGACTCTTTTATTTGTTTGTGTTGGATCTGTCCAGAGTAAGACATTCCCCAAGAATTACTGTCCAAACCAATCATACTGCAGAATATATGTCGGCAGTGGTTCAGGTCCAGGTCACCGGTGCACACCCCAATCATCTATAGAGACAGAATCATATACAGAATATTGTTATGTTGTAACCAGTCTCACAGACTTGTACAAAGAGCAGTCTTACAATCAGCAAATAAATGTTATTCCATGGCAGAGAAAAATGGCTGAATACCTTCTTCTTAGTTCAAACATTTTACTTGATATAGCTTATATAGAAATAGCATGAAGTATTAGGATGAAGACAAAATTTGCACAAGGTACATGTAAATAACAATTGATGAATTAGAATCATGCCATGTTTGGGTATTGGGTAAGCAAATATTTTTTTCTATGAAGATTGAATATAGATATATTCACCATATCAGTCCCATACACTGGTGTTGTCATCTTAATCTCCCAGAAGTACTGATCATTCTTCATTGGCATTGTTCCACGGACTGCGGCAGTACCACAACTATAGTCAATATGAAACATCACTTCACGGAAATCATCTTTAATACAGCTAGCTGCTGATTTGGATTCATCATCCCATACCCACTCAAATCCTGAAAAGTAGTGCATGAAAAATGACATTATACCATCATCAAGTGTTTGATAAATGACATACATTCATACCATGTATTTATGCCAATGAAATGAGGCTACAGTATTCATACAAGACAAAGAAATGCTATGTTGTATCTAAAAGACCTTGACAGTCTGTATACTCTCAAGATAGTGACAATTTATTATTTTTTTTCTGTCTACAAACTGTAACTTGCTGTAATCTATAAATCTTCGCTTACTTGTATTTTCCTCACCGCATACACAGAACTTTTCTCTCTTTTTCTTCAGACAGTCACAAAAGGAGTCACTCTTAGACTTGCTGACCATTCCACACGATAATCCTCGACGTCGTGGTGTTAATTCTTCGTCATCGGGATCGGAGAAAATGGACGCAAGTTCGTCATCATCATCACTGCTTAAATCCGCTGAAGCACTCTCTATTGCTAAAACTTCGCTCATGGCCTTGATAAACTATGCTTTGACTCTCGATAAAATGCCAAAAATTGTCATTTTTTAATACTACATTGTCACTCACTCACTGTCAACACAATAACATCGTAGTAGTTTGACAAACAAGCGCTTTTGAGATTTCGATGCAAGCGTTTCAACCATCTAGATTGAGTGTAATAAAACCGAAAACCTCGATGTGCCGGAATTTTCCGTTCATTATTCAAATTGTAAGAAAGCATGTTTAGATCTGAAAGAACATCAAAATAATATAGACATTATATATATTTTTTTTATTTTGATCACTTCCGGTTCGCGATTTAGTGATATTTGGAGGGGTTCAGTTTGCCTGCACGTTTTCTAATAAAGCGTCGACAATCACTATGGTCCGAAAAAAGACATATCGAGAAAAATTTTTTTTCTACAATATCTCTTTACCTGTAAACATTTTGATAAAACATATATCGGATATGATAAAAGTTCAGAAATGGACATGAACATTCAAGTGATGTCAACAAAAAGGGACTGATCCCTAAAATTGGGTATCTAGAGGTGCAGAAAAAAATGGTCTTAATGCCAAAAACTACTGAAAATTTACATGATTTACAAAACATCAAATAAGCAATGTTGTTCAAAATAACAAGTAGCACTTACGGCCAATCGGAAGTAATCAAAATGGCTTATTTTTGTTGATTATGGCAATGATGAATGTCACTGAGGACTTCTAACCCCCCCCCCACTGATTTTTTTCCCAAGATGTTCTTGATTTTTTATTATAGTACATGTACCATATGAGATGTTTTGGAAAAGAAAAAAAAAATCAGCATTCATAGCAGATGATTTTAAAAGATATTAAAGGATAAAAATCTTTGTGTAATTTAAAGAAAAATAACAAAAGTATAGTTTTAGCTGGTATATTTCCTTGAAAATTGATTTTCGACGCATATTTATGCATAATCAATTATTAAAGTTCTTAAATTATACAGCGGGGGAATAAAGAGTTCCAAGCTTTGTTGCGCGTGTCCTTAAAAGGTGAAACTTTTATAAGAAGGACTGGTGTAATTGCAGGACAATTGTAACCAGGGGTCCGTTTTACCTTTGACTTAGACCAAGATATAATTTTGCTATCATAAAATAATTAATCTGGACAGATTTTACAGTCAGCTTAAGTTTTGGTCTTAGTCGCAATTAAGTTCTTTTGTTAAACGGGACCCAGTTTTCTTTTTTGAATTTATTTTATACTTTTTGGGTCGCGAAAGATACGTCATAATGAAAAGATCAGAGGAGACGTCATAGTTATGTCTCTTTGACGTCACAATCGATTGCATAGTTTCACAAAGTGGAAACAATGGCTGTGTGCGACTTGATAAGAATTGAAATGGAATGCGAGTGTAATATTCCAAAGGCAAAGTTGGCACTAGTTGCTACTGGCTCCATCCCCCAGTTAGGGAATTGGGACGTTAATAAGGGATTGATTGCAGGTATGTGTTGAAAAACTTCGAACGATGACTTGTTAATGTTGGTCACGGGTGTGTTTTTTTTTAAGTAACTAAAAGTTACGCATTGGTGTTGATACAAATACCTGCCATTATTAGAGGTGGATTGGCCAGGCCTATATATGGCATGTAAAACGTTTCATTTTTATACCTTTTTGTTATTCCTAAATAAAATTAAAAAAAATTGTTATTCTTATTCTCAATCTGATTAAAATCAGATCTTTATTACGCTTCGAAATGCTGATAGTTGTTTTGTACAGCGACTATCAGAATTTCGGAGCGTAACAAAGATCTGATTTTAATCATATTGTTATTATTCTTGAACATATCATTCCTATTCGATAAAATGTGATTCCTATTCGATAAGTTGTTATTCTTATGCGAAAAATGTTATTTTTATTCGATAATTTTTCATTCCTCTTCGATAAGTTGTTTTTCCTATTCGAAAACATGTGATTCATATACGATAATTGGATTCCTATTCGATAATTTTGTCATTTTTATTCCATAATTAAATGATTTATAGCCGATAAGCATGTTATTCCTATTGAAAAAAAAACCCATACCATTCCCATTCGAAAACATACACTTCCTTCCTTCTTAACAAGATTATCGAATAGGAATCGTATGTTTTCGAATATGAATGATATGTTTTCGAATAGAAATAACAAGTTCATTTATTGCACATAAATCACATAATTATCGAATAAGAATGACAAAGGACAAGGTTCATTTGATATAATATTTGGCCCTGAGAATTTCTAAAATTAAAGTTTACGCTGAATCAAAACTTTACATTGGAAATAAAGGTTGGATATATGCTTGTTAAAAAAATAAACCCAAAGTTTGAGAATGTGTCCCTGTATGCTGTTTATTCGTGGTCAAATCATGCACGGAATGCGTTTTTCCGGAAAAATCGTTAAAAATCAAGGACTTAAAAGCATTTTTCGATAGGTCCGCATTATATCACCACTTTGAAATTTTCACAAATGAAATATCAAGTGAAAGCATTTTATATGCAAAAAATTACGATGGTGATATTGTGCGGACCATGTTTATTTTTTAAAAAATATGTTCATTTTACAGCATGCAATACACATGCATTCGGCGGTGTTTTGCTTGATCTAAATAATACTGAGAATATATACCTCGCCACGTATCGCTAAAAATCCTTTAATATAAAGGATAAAAATCATTATATCAATGTTATGAAGATCTGGTCTGTATTAATTCTTTACACGTTATTGGAATTCAGATACATTGGGCCTATATTAGTATATTTATAAAGCATCTTACTTCCGCGCTCCATAACTAAGCGACAGTGGTCCGAGTTAGACTGTATCTGGACGTTAGATGGTTGAAAAAAGTAGCAGTGCAGAAAAAAATGTAGTATTTACACTTGTTGTATAAATATTATTTTACTTCTAGTTTATTTATTTACCCAGTGCTTGTGTCCATATTCATGCCAAGCTGAACATTATAAAACAATATACGTCATTTTTGAAAATTGACGTCACAATGGTTTCGCCGATCTATTTGGCCTGTTGGGAAAATGGACCATTTACATGTACAAGGACATGATTTTTTTTAGCTATCAGAGTGAAAATTAGAGGCTAAGTTTCCAAGATAGAAGGCAATTAAATTGGCAAAATATCACAATATATTTAACAATGCGCCTCTCAGTATAAAACATGTGCAATGTCGATCAGTTCCGAACATAATTTAGATTGTCATAAATGTTTTATCAATGACTTCAGCTAGATTTTTTTAAGAGTTCCATAAAAAATACCCGTAAAGTCATATACATCACATAAATGTATTTCGGTCACATCATTTCTCGAGATGGTCAAAAAGGGGTAAAAGGGGTAAAAGCATTTTATGTACTTAATAGCGATTAAATAAAGGTTGGATGTAATATAATTTACATAATGTAAAAAAAAAAAACAAACAAACAATAAACTTTGTGGGGTTGGGCGGGGTTATAAATTACTACTTGCGTGATGATATCGGATGTGTGTGGGGGGAGGGGGGGGGGGTCGTGTCTAATTGCTCCTCTAAATTTATGTTCTTAATATTACTGTAGATCGACAGACCTATATGAATGGTATATAGAAACATAATATAGAAGTAACGAATGGCGGAGGATAAAAAAGTGTTTCCCTTTGATTGTCAAGAATCACATCGTTTGCTTGTTATCCTTCTGTATTGATATCCGAAAAAGTATATTAATCTATGCTAAGAAATGATAAGTATATATCCACGGATATCTGACAAGTGCGCATAAGTGAAATATTCTCGAACGGGGCTCATACATGTAATGCAGTGATCGTAGAAAATATAGCTGATTTTATTCTTGTTAATTGTTTCAACTGGAGGGAAAAATTAAAATAAAATATAAACAGGGTGTCATAGAACATAGAAAATGATTTATTTAATAAATGCATTTACGATGTATAAACATCGGGTTTATTGTGAAATGGATTCCACGTGCTGGATTTTGTAGGAAATGTTCTCACCATGCTTACTGGTTATTGAAATAATGACTTCCAGGATATCAATATCAACAATCTAGTGCGTACATGTATTTAAAGGCGGATCCAACACCGGCGTGCCGGGCGTACCCCCCCCCCCCTCCCTCCTTGATTGATTTTTTTTTTTGCTTGTGTACATTTTGTTTGTTTAACCTGTTTATACTCTCAATTTATCCACACGTAACGTTCAGGCACGTAGTTTCAATGCTGGTTCGAATTGGAAAATGTTTCATGTCGGAAAAATCTTAACCTACCCCCTACATGTGTAAAAAGTTTTACTTGATATTTCATTACCACTTTGAACATAATGATACTTTTCCCACGACATTTTTTTTTTACTTTTTTAATTTTTGTCATTTTGAAAATATACATTTAATTAATTATCAATAGACTGAAAGTAGAACTATTTTGTTTTAATTTCTACGCCTACAATATGTGATACAGGAACTATAATTATTTCATGTAATCTAAGTTATCATTGAATAGACACCCCCCCCCCTCCCCCATAAAACATGTAAAAAAGTATCAACTGCACTGTCTGCTTCCTTTCCCCCGAATAACGAAATAAAATTAATATTGCTTTCTGTTTGTTATGAACAAAAAGCCATCTACTTTCAAGGGTTAACTTAGGTTCACAATATTAAATTGAGATATTCTTAACATTATATTAGACCAATATAAAGTAATTGAATACAGTATTTACATATTGATTACCGATATAAGTAAACAACAGTGAAATCTGTTAACTAACACTTGATTGTCTTAAGGCATGCACTTTATTCTTGAAATGAACTAGATTGGCTCATAATGTACACCTTTATATGATAAAATGCTCTCAAAGTCTAAAAAATGTTTTTTCCTAATTGGTGTTTAGAGCTTCCTTAAAACACACGCTAGCGTAGGTTGTCGTCACAAAGCTATAGATTACTTAGAGGAAGTAGTAAGGGATCCGCAGGGGGGGGGGGGGGGTATCCGGACCCTACCCCAACACCCACCACTTGTATAAAATTCATATAGTAAAATACCAAAAATATGAAGGGGGAAGGGTTAAGGGTTTGTAAAGTTTGTAAGATATGTAGGAAGGTAAAGT